GGGTCCTATGGGTAATGGGGTCCTATGGGTAATGGGGGCCTTATGGGTAATGGGGGCCTTATGGGTAATGGGGTCCTTATGGGTAATGGGGTCCTAGGGGTAATGGGGTCCTATGGGTAATGGTTGTCCCTATGGCTATAGGGGATCCCAATGGATTTAGGGGCTCCCTATGCCTATGGGGGGCTCTGAGCTCTCCGTAAGGGTGACTCCCCCCTCCCCTCCCCTCCCCCCAGATGAGGACGGGGACCCCTCCCCCCCCCACACCCCGGACGCCTCCGAGCGGGAGCTGCTCCGGGCCGAGTTCCTGTCCCGCATGGAGCAGCGCTTCCTGGAGGGGCAGGACTGGGAATTCGACTACAGGTACCCCCCATCCCCCACCCCCCATCCCCCACCCCCCATCCCCCACCCCCCCTTGGAACCCCCCTTGGAACCCCCTTATCCCATCCCATTCCCACCTTATCCCATCCCATTCCCCCCATCCCATCCCATTCCCACCATATCCCATCCCATTCCCACCTTACCCAACATTACCAACACATCCCACCTCATCCCAACACATCCCACCCATCCCACCTTATCCCACCACATCTCAGCCCAACACATCCTACCTCATCCCAACGCATCCCATCCCATCCCATTCCCACCTTATCCCATCCCATTCCCTCCTTATCCCATCCCATTCCCTCCTTATCCCATCCCATTCCCACCTTATCCCGCCCCATTCCCACCTTATCCCATCCCATTCCCTCCTTATCCCAACACCTTAACCCAACACATCCCACCTTATCCAAACCCATCCCCCCCCCACCCCATTCCCACCTTATCCCACCTATTCCCTCCTCATCACACCCCATTCCCACCTCATCCCATCCCCTGTTATCCCACCCCATTCCCTCCTTATCCCATCCCATTCCTTCCTTATCCCACCCCATTCCCACCTTATCCCATCCCATTCCCCCCTTACCCCCCCATTCCTTCCTTATCCCATCCCATTCCCCCCCATCCCACCCCATTCCCTCCTTATCCTATCCCATTCCTTCCTTATCCCACCCCATTCCCACCTTATCCCATCCCATTCCCTCCTTATCCAACCCCATTCCCTCCTTATCCCATTCCCACCTTATCCCACACCATTCCGCCCTTATCCCATCCCATTCGCTCCTTATTCAACCCCATTCCCACCTTACCCCATCCCATTCTCCATTACCCCCCACCCCCCACCCCCACCCCCCACCCACCCCACCCCCCCCCACCCACCCACCACCCACCCCACCACCACCACCCCCCCCCCCATCACATTCCCACCTTATCCCATCCCATTCCCTCCTTATCCCATCCCATTCCCACCTTATCCCATCCCATTCCCTCCTTATCCCACCCCATTCTCCCCTTATCCCACCCCATTCCCCCCTTATCCCATATTCATCCCATTCCCTCCTTATATCCCATTCCCTCCTTATTCCATTCCCCCCTTATCCCCCTCATTCCCCACTTATCCCATCCCTTTCCCTCCTTATCCTACCCCATTCCCCCCTTATGCCCCCCCATTCCCCCCTTATCCCTTCCCACTCCTTCCTTATCCCATTCCCTCCTTATCCCACCCCATTCTCCCCTTATCCCACACCATTCCCCCCCCATTCCCCCTTTATCCCCCCATACCCCATTCCCCCCATATCCCATCCCGCCCCATATCCCATTCCCAGCCAGGTAGATGGGAACGCCGACCTGGATCTTGGGATCATCGCTGAGCGGGATGCAGAGGAGCGGTACTTTGATGCCGAGGAGCCCAGTGCTGCCCCCCCCTGCAATAAAGGGGGGACCCCCCCCAAAATCACCCCCACATTGCCATTAATGGGACCTATGGGTCCCCCCCCCCATTGCCGCCCCCCATTGCCATTAATGGGACCTATGGGTGCCCCCCCCCCATTGCCATTAATGGGACCTATGGGTGCCCCCCCCCATTGCCCTTAATGGGACCTAAGGGTGCCCCCCCCCATTGCCATTAATGGGACCTATGGGTGCCCCCCCCATTGCCATTAATGGGACCTATGGGTGCCCCCCCCCATTGCCGTTAATAGGACCTATGGGTACCCCCCCATTGCCATTAATGGGACCTGGGTGCCCCCCCATTGCCATTAATGGACCTATGGTGCCCCCCCCATTGCCATTAATGGACCTATGGGTCCCCCCCATTGCCATTAATGGGACCTATGGGTGCCCCCCCCCATTGCCATTAATGGGACCTATGGGTGCCCCCCCCCATTGCCGTTAATGGGACCTATTGGTGCCCCCCACCCCATTGCCGTTAATGGGACCTATGGGTGCCCCCACCCCATTGACATTAATGGGACCTATGGGTGCCCCCCCACAAAACCACCCCCCACCAAACCACCCCCCCCATTGCCGTTAATAGGACCTATGGGTGCCCCCCCCATTGCCATTAATGGGACCTATGGGTGCCCCCCCCATTGCCATTAATGGGACCTATGGGTGCCCCCCCATTGCCATTAATGGGACCTATGGGTGCCCCCCCAAAACACCCCCCCCCCCAAACCACCCCCCCACCAAAACCACCCCCCATTGCCATTAATGGGACCTATGGGTGCCCCCCCCATTGCCATTAATGGGACCTATGGGTGCCCCCCCAATTGCCATTAATGGGACCTATGGGTGCCCCCCCCATTGCCATTAATGGGACCTATGGGTGCCCCCCCCATTGCCATTAATGGGACCTATGGGTGCCCCCCCCATTGCCATTAATGGGTGTTTTTACCTCTTCCAGCCCCAAAAAAGCAGAAACTGAGCCCAAAAAAAAGAGGAACTTGGGACAAATTAAATAAGGTTTTATTGGGGGTGGGGGGGGAAGGTTATTTTGGGGTGAAAAAGTGGGGTTTTGGGTACACAAAACAAAACAAAAAACACATTTGGGTACAAAAGTTTGGGGTGAAAAAGGGATTTGGGTGCACAGGGGGGTTTTGGGGTAAAAGCACTTTGGGGTGAAAAAGGTGGATTTGGGGTGCACATAGGGGGGTTTTGGGGTACAAAAGCATTTTGGGGTGAAAAAGGTGGATTTTGGGTGCACATAGGGGGGTTTTGGGGGTATAAAAGCACTTTGGGGTGAAAAAGGTGGATTTGGGGTGCACAAAGGGGGGTTTTGGGGTACAAAAGCGTTTTGGGGTGAAAAAGGTGGATTTTGGGTGCACATAGGGGGGTTATTGGGGTACAAAAGCGTTTTGGGGTGAAAAAGGGGGGTTTTGGGTCAGCTGCCCTTGCCCTGTGCAACCACACAGTGGTTGGGGGGGGGATTTTGGGGTGAAAAAGGGCGATTTTGGGAGTACAAAAAGGGAGGGGGTTTGGGGTCTCTGGGTTGGGTTTTTGGGGTAGAAAAGCGATGTTTTGGGTCCAAAGCGGTGCTTTTGGGGTGAAAAAGGCTGATTTTGGTGGTGGTTTGTGTTTCTTAAGGCTGGTTTGGGCAATTTTGGGCAATTTTGGGCTGGTTTTGCCTGTTTTAGGTCAATTTCAGGCAGTTTCGGGTCTGTTTTGGGTCAATTTCCTGCAGTTTTGGGTCCATTTCCTGCAGTTTTGGGTCCATTTCCTGCAGTTTTCGGTCCGTTTCAGGTCCGTTTTGGGTGCATTTCAGGCGGTTTTGGGTCAATTTCCTGCAGTTTCGGGTCCATTTTTGGTGCATTTGGGTCGGTTTTGGGTCTGTTGGGCTCAGCTGCACTTGCAGCTTTTACCTGTTCTGGCTCTATTTTGGGTCCATTTCCTGCAGTTTTGGGTCCATTTGGGGTGGTTTTGGCTCTGTTTTGGGTCCGTTTCCAGCGGTTTTGGGTCCATTTGGGGCGGTTTTGGGTCCGTTTCAGCTCCGTTTTGGGTCCGTTTGGAGTGGGTTTGGGTCCGTTTTGGCTCTGAGTCTGTTTCTGGTGGTTTTGGGTCCGTTTCCAGCGGTTTTGGGTCCATTTGGGGCAGTTTCAGGTCCGTTTCGGCTCTGTTTTGGGTCCGTTTCTGGTGGTTTTGGGTTCGTTTGAGGCGGTTTTGGGTCCGTTTTGGGTCCATTTCCTGCAGTTTTGGGTCCGTTGGGCTCAGCTGCACTTGCAGCTTTTACCTGTTCTGGGTCTATTTTGGGTCCATTTCCTGCAGTTTTGGGTCCGTTTGGCTCCGTTTTGGGTCCATTTTGGGTCCATTTGGGGCGGTTTTGGGTCCGTTTTGGCTCTGTTTTGGGTCCATTTCCTGCAGTTTTGGGTCCATTTCAGGCAGTTTCGGCTCCATTTTGGGTCCATTTCAGGCAGTTTCGGGTCCATTTCCTGCAGTTTTGGGTCCGTGGGGCTCAGCTGCACTTGCAGCTTTTACCTGTTCTGGGTCCATTTTGGGTCTATTTCCTGCAGTTTTGGGTCCATTTTGGGTCCATTTCCTGCGGTTTTGGGTCCGTTTGGCTCCGTTTTGGGTCCATTTCGGTCGGTTTTGGGTCCGTTTTGGCTCTGTTTTGGGTCCATTTCCTGCAGTTTTGGGTCCGTTCCGGCTCCGTTTTGGCTCTATTTTGGGTCCATTTCCTGCGGTTTTGGGTCCGTTCCGGCTCCGTTTTGGCTCCATTTTGGGTCCATTTCCTGCAGTTTTGGGTCCGTTTTGGCTCTGTTTTGGGTCCATTTCCTGCAGTTTCGGCTCCGTTTTGGGTCCATTTCCTGCAGTTTTGGGTCCGTTTTGGGTCCATTTGTGCCCATTTTGGGTCCATTTGAGCCCATTTTGGGTCCATTTCTGCCCATTTTGGGTCTATTTCTGCCCATTTTGGGTCCATTTCTGCCAGTTTTGGGTGGTTTTGTTCCATTTTGGGTGTATTTATGCCCATTTTGGGTCCATTTCTGCCCATTTTGGGTCCATTTGGCTCCATTTTGGGTCCATTTCTGCCCATTTTGGGTCCATTTCTGCCCATTTTGGGTCCATTTCTGCCGATTTCGGGTGCTTTTGGCTCTATTTTGGGTCCATTTCCTGCGGTTTCGGGCCCGGGCTCAGCTGCACTTGCAGGCCCGCACCACCATGTCCGAGAGCTGCTCCACGCGCGCCTTGCGCCCCACGTAGTAAACGATGGGGAGCGGCTCCAGGCTCTGGGGCACACAGCAGGGGGCGGCCGAGCCCCCCGGGTTGTGCTGCGTGTACAGGGCCAGCACCTGCGGGGGGGCAGCGGTCACTTAGGGGGTGGGACCCACACTTATGGGGCTGGAGTCGCGGTTATGGGGCGGGAGCCGCGGTTATGGGGCGGAAGCCACGGTTATGGGGCTGGAGCCGCGCTTAGGGGGTGGGAGCCGCGGTTATGGGGCGGGAGCCGCACTTACGGCTCCCCCCCCCCCCCCTCATGGGTCCCTCCCCACACTTATGGGTCCCACCCCACACTTATGGGTCCCGCCCCCCACTTATGGCTCCCAGCCCCACACTTATGGGTCCCACCCCCCACTTATGGCTCCCACCCCCCACTTATGGCTCCCACCCCCCACTTATGGGTCCCACCCCCCACTTATGGCTCCCACCCCCCACTTATGGCTCCCACCCCCCACTTACGGCTCCCACCCCCCACTTATGGCTCCCACCCCCCACTTACGGCTCCCAGCCCCACACTTATAGCTCCCACCCCCACTTATGGCTCCCATCCCCCACTTATGGCTCCCATCCCCCACTTATGGCTCCCAGCCCCACACTTATGGGTCCCACCCCACACATAGGGGCCGGGGCGCACCTTGGAGTACTGGGTGTCCGCGCTCCAGAGGTAGGGGCAGCCCCCCCCGCAGAAGTTGGCCATGTACCCGCGGGGCTCGTGGATCCAGCGCCAGTGCAGGTCCCGCCGGAAGTCGATGTAGAGCGGGCGCAGGCAGCAGCTCGGCTCCTCCGGCCTGCGCGGGGGGGGGAATGGGGATGAATGGGGGGCAATGGGGATGAATGGGGGGGGGCAATGGGGATGAATGGGAGTCAATGGGGATGAATGGGGGGGGGATGAATGGGAGTCAATGGGGATGAATGGGGATGAATGGGGATGAATGGAGGGGGCGCAATGGGGATGAATGAGGGGGGATGAATGGGGGGATGAATGGGGGGCAATGGGGATGAATGAATGGGGGGATGAATGGGAGTCAATGAAGGGGGGGCAATGGGGATGAATGAATGCGGGGGATGAATGGGAGTCAATGAATGGGGGGCAATGGGGATGAATGAATGGGGGGGATGAATGGGAGTCAATGAATGGGGGGCAATGGGGATGAATGAATGGGGGGCAATGGGGATGAATGGGAGTCAATGGGGATGAATGAATGGGGGGATGAATGGGGACAGTGGGGATGAATGGGGGGAAATGGGGATGAATGAATGGGGGAATGAATGGGGATAAATGAATGGGGGTCAATGGGGGGGATGAATGAATGGGGGCAATGAATGGGGGGCAATGAATGGGGGGAATGGGGATGAATGAATGGGGGAATGAATGGGAGTGAATGGGGATGAATGAATGGGGGAATGAATGGGAGTCAATGGGGATGAATGAATGGGGGGAATGGGAGTCAATGGGGATGAATGAATGGGGGGGTGAATGGGGGGAAATGAATGGGGGGCAATTAATGGGGGGCAATGAATGGGGGCAATGAATGGGAGTCAGTGGGGATGAATGAATGGGGGGAACGAATGGGGGGAACAAATGGGAGTCAATGGGGATGAATGGGGGGAATGAATGGGAGTCAGTGGGCGGATGAATGGGGGGAATGGAGGGGGATGGGGATGAATGGGAGGAATGGGGCAATGAATGGGGGAAATGAATGGGGGGAAATGGGAGGAGTCAATGGGGGGGATGAATGGGGGAATGGGGAAATGAATGGGGGGGATGAATGGGAGTCAATGGGGATGAATGGGGAGGAATGAATGGGGAAATGAATGGGAGTCAATGGGGATGAATGGGGGGCAATGAATGGGGGCCAATGGGGATGAATAGGTGAAATGAATGGGAGTCAATAGGGATGAATAGAGGGAATGGGGATGAATGGGGGCAATGAATAAGGGGAAATAAATGGGAGTCAATGGGGATAAATGGGGAGGAGTGAATGGGGGGCAATGAATGGGAGTCAATGGGGTGAACGGGGGGGGGTGATGAATGGGGAGCAGTGAATGGGGGGCAATGGGGATGAATAGGAGTCAGTGGGGAATGAATGGGAGTCAATGCATCTATTTGGGTTCATTTTGGGCTGACTTGGGTCTGTTCGGGTCCATTTTGGGCTGTTTTGGTCCATTTTGCGTCAATTTTGGTCCATTTTGGGTCCCGTTTTGATCCATTTTGTGTCCCTTTTGGTCTGTTTTGGGTCCATTTTGGGTCAGTTTAGGTCCCTTTTGGGCTGACTTGGGTCTGTTTGGGTCCATTTTGGTCTGTTTTGGTCCATTTTGGGTCCCTTTTGTTCTGTTTTGGGCTGATTTGGGTCAGTTTGGGTCCGTTTTGGGTCATTTTGGGTCAGTTTTGGTCCATTTTGGGTCATTTTGGTCATTTTGGGTCATTTTGGGTCCATTTTGGGTCATTTTGGGTCCATTTTGGGTCATTTTGGGTCCGTTTTGTGTCCGGGCGCACTCACCCGAAGCAGAAGGGGGGGTCGAGGCCGCGGCGGCGCCGGGCGCTGCGGAGGTCGTTGCCGCGCTCCTCGGGCAGTACCATGGCCAGCAGGTAGGGGGCGCGCTGGTGCTTGCGGGCGATGCCCTGCATGTCCCCGCGCTGCTGCTCGAACCCTGCCCAACAGCACCGAAAACACCCGGATTGAACCCAAAAACACCCGAATTTAACCCAAAACACCCAAATTTAACCCCAAAACACCGGGATTTAACCCCAAAGCACCCAAATTTAACCAAAATCACCGCGATTTAACCTCAAAATCACCCAAATTTAACCCCAAAACATCCGGAATTAACCCAAAATCACCGGGATTTAACCCAAAATCACCCAATTTTAACCCCAAAACACCGGGATTTAACCCCCAAACACCCGGAATTAATCCAAAACACCCAAATTTAACCAAAACCACCGTGATTTAACCCCAAAACACCCAAATTTAACCCCAAAACACCGCGGTTTAACCTCAAAACACACAAATTTAACCCCAAAACATCCGAAATTAACCCAAAATCACTCAAATTTAACCCAAAATCACCGCGATTTAACCCCAGAACACCCAAATTTAACCCCAAAACATGCGGAATTAAACCAAAATCACCCGAATATAACCATAATCACTGCAAATTAACCCCAGAACACCCAAATTTAAACAAAACCAACGTGATTTAACCCCAGAACACCCAGATTTAACCGAAACCACCGCGATTTAACCCCAAAACTCTCAAATTTAACCAAAACCACCCAAATTTAACCAAAACCACTGCGATTTAACTGAAAACACAAATTTAACCCCAAAACATCCAGAATTAACCCCAAATCACCCAAATTTAACCCCAAATCACTCAAATTTAGCCCCAAATCACTCAAATTTAATCCCAAAACATCCAGTTTTAACCCAAATCACCGGGATTTAACCCAAAACACCTAAATTCAACCTAAGATCACAGAAATTTAATCAAAATCACACAAACTTAACCCAGAATCACCCAAATTTAACCCCAAATGACCAGAATTTAACCAAAATCACCCAAATTCAATTCCAAATCACCTGGATTTAACACAAAACCACCCAGATTTAACCAAAATCACCCGGATTTAACCCCAAATCACCCGAATTTAACCCAAAATCATCCAAATTGAACCCCAAATCACCCGGATTTAACCCAAAATCATTTGAATTGAACCCCAAATCACCCGGATTTAACCCAAAACCACCCAAATCTAACCCCAAATCATCCAAATTTAACCCAAAATCACCCAAATTTAACCAAAATCACCCAGATTTAACCCCAAATCACCCGAATTCAACCCAAAACACCCACACTGTACCCCCCCCCCCCCCCGGTACCTTCGAAGGTGACGCGCATGGGGGGGGGCGGCCCCGGCTCGTCACAGGGGCAATGGACGCTCAGCTTGAACGTGCCCATGGGGTCTATGGGGAGAGAGGGGTCAGTGGCGATGGGGGGGGACCATGGGGGGACCATAGAGTGCCCACTGAGAGCCCATTGGGTGCCATTAGGTTCCATTGGGTGCCATTGAGATGCCCATTGGGGTCCCCATTAGGTACCCATAGAGATGCCCATTGAAGTCCCCATTGGGTACCCCTAGAGATGCCCATTGGGTACCCATAGAGATGCCCATTGAGGTCCCCATTGGGTACCCATAGAGATGCCCATTGAGGTCCCCATTGGGTACCCATAGAGATGCCCACTGAGGTCCCCATTGGGTACCCATAGAGATGCCCATTGAGGTCCCCATTGGGTACCCATAGAGATGCCCATTGAGGTCCCCATTGGGTACCCATAGAGATGCCCATTGAGGTCCCCATTAGGTACCCATAGAGATGCCCACTGAGGTCCCCATTGGGTACCCATTGAGGTGCCCATTGAGGTCCCCATTGGGTACCCATAGAGATGCCCACTGAGGTCCCCATTGGGTACCCCTAGAGATGCCCATTGAGGTGCCCATTGGGTACCCATAGAGATGCCCATTGAGGTCCCCATTAGGTACCCATAGAGATGCCCACTGAGGTCCCCATTGGGTACCCCTAGAGATGCCCATTGAGGTGCCCATTGGGTACCCATAGAGATGCCCATTGATGTCCCCGTAGGGTACCCATAGAGATGCCCACTGAGGTCCCCATTGGGTACCCATAGAGATGCCCATTGAGGTCCCCATTGCCTGCCCATTGGGACCCCATTACCCGTCCCCCCCCATACATCACCATTGCCCCCCAGCCACTGCTGCACGGCCTCGGTGACGTCGAACCAGACCCATTCCTCGTCCGGGGCCGCCCGCACCCAGCGGCCCTGCAGGTACCTCCAGGAGGCGTTGCCAAAGCCCTGGGGGGAGAGGAGACCCCGCCAGTCACAATGGGGACCCCAAAACCCATCCCTGGACCCCAAGACCACATCCGGGGACCCCAAAACCCCATCCAGGGACCCCAAAACCCATCCAGGGACCCCAAAACCACATCCAGGGACCCCAAAACCCATCCCGGGACCCTAAAACCCATCCCTGGACCCCAAAACCACATCCGGGGACCCCAAAACCACATCTGGAGACCCCAAAACCCATCCCTGGACCCCAAAACCACATCCAGGGACCCCAACACCACATCCATTGACCATAATGGGGGGTTCCCATACCCATCCCCTCCCATTGACCATAATGGGGGGGTTCCCATACCCATCCCCTCCCATTGACCATAATGGGGGCGGTTCCCATACCCAGCCCCTCCCATTGACCATAATGGGGGTGTTTCGGTACCCAGGTCCTCCCAGTGACCATAATGGGGGGGTTCCCATACCCAGGCCCTTCCATTGACCATAATGGGGGGGTTCCCATACCCAGGCCCTCCCATTGACCATAATGGGGGCGTTCCTATACCCAGGCCCTTCCATTGACCATAATGGGGGGGTTCCTATACCCAGGCCCTCCCATTGCCCATAATGGGGCGGTTCCCATACCCAGGACCCTTCCATTGCCCATAATGGGGGTGTTCCGGTACCCAGGTCCTCCCAGTGACCATAATGGGGGCGGTTCCCGCACCCAGGCCCTTCCATTGACCATAATGGGGGTGTTCCGGTACCCAGGTCCTCCCAGTGACCATAGAGACGTGCGGCGGAAGGAGCGGTACCTGGTAGAGCTCCAGGCGCTGCTGGTCGCCGCCCTCGGGCGCCCTCTGGCGGAGCATGCGCAGCTCGGCGCGGTGCAGCAGCGCCCCCCGGCTCAGCTCAGCGCGCATGCGCGAGGCGTTGAAGCGCAGCAGGAGCGCGCGGCCGGGGGCGGAGCCTGAGCCTGCGGGGGGGAGGGACAATGGGAGCCATAGGGATACATTGGGATCCATGGGGATGGATGGGGATGGATACATGGGGATGGATACATGGGGATAGATACATGGGGATGGATACATGGGGATCCATGGGGATGGATACATGGGGATCCATGGGGATGGATACATTACATGGGGATGGATACATGGGGATGGATACATGGGGATCCATGGGGATGGATACATAGGGATGGATACATAGGAATACATAGGGGATACATGGGGATACATAGGAATGGAAACATAAGGATAAATAAGGATATAGCAATACATAGGGATACATGAGATACACAAGGATACATACAGACCCCATAGAGACCCATTGGGACCCACAGAGACCCAATACAGACCCATAGGGACCCATAGAGACCCCATAAGAAACCATAGGGACACATAGATACCCATAGGAACCCATTGGGACCCATAGGGAGAGAACCCATAGGAACTCACTGGGACCCAGAAGGATCCATACAGACCCCTAGGGACCTATAGAGACACGTCGAGCCCCATAGGGATCCACAGAGATCCATAGAGACCCATCGTGACCCATAGCACCCCATAGCGAGCCATAGAGACCCATAGGGATCATAGGGACCCATAGACACCCACAGAGACCCACAGAGCCTTATAGTGCCCCATAGCGCCCCATAGCATCCCCTCCCCCCTTTCTGGCCCCCTGCAGCCCGGAATTCCTCAGCAAACCACAACATCCGGATGCACCAGGATAGGAGGAAATGAGGGGGGGGAGGGGAGCATGGGGCACCCAATGGGGGAGGGGAAGGGGGCTGGGATGTGCTCCCCCCATTGAGTACCCATAAACCCCATTGAGCACCCATAAACCCCACTGAGCACCCATAAACACCCCCCCCAGCAGGGCTCCCATGGGTGCCCCAACCCATTGGGGTGCCCATAGGGATGCCCATAGTGATGCCCACTGTGGTACCCACAGTGATGCTCATTGGGATGCCCATAGGAATGTCCATTGGATGCCTATTGGGATGCCCATTAGGGTGCCCATAGCGATGCCCATAAGGATGCCCACTGGAACACCCATTGGATGCCCATAGGGACACCCATAAAGACACCATAGTGGTACCCATAGTGACGCCCCCTGGGACACCCATTGGAACAACCATAGGATGCCCATTGGGACGCCCATAAGGACATCCAGTGGGACACCCATAGGATGCCCATTGGGGCACCGATAGGGTCACCCATTGGAACACCCACAGAATGCCCATTGGGATGCCCATAGGATGCCCATTGGGGCAGCCATAGGGACACCCATTGGGACACCCATAGGATGCCCATTAGGACGCCCATAGGGACACCCATTGAAACGCCCATAGAGACACCCACTGGGACACCCAAAGGAACACCCATTGGGACACCCAAAGGAACACCCATTGGATGCCCACTGGGACACCCATAGTGACCCCCAGAGGATGCCCATTGGGATACCCATTGGAACACCCATAGGATGCCCATTGGAACCCCCATAGGAACACCCATAGAGGCACTCATAGGATGCCCATTGGGACACCCATAGGAACACCCATAGAGGCACTCATAGGATGCCCATTGGGACACCCATAGGAACACCCATAGAGGCACTCATAGGATGCCCATTGGGACACCCACTGGGTCACCCATCGGATGCCCGTTGGGACACCCATTGGAACACCCATAGTGACCCCCACAGTGACCCCCATAGGATGCCCATAGACATCCCCCCACCCCTTTTTCCCCCCTCACCATCTCCAGGCGGCTCCATAGGGAAGCGGTGCAGCTCCTTCGCGTAGTACTCCTCCGGGCCGCTAGGGGGCGCCCCCCTCTCCCGCTGCTGCTGCTGCAGCAGCTCCCACGTGCTGTTGTAGAGCGCGCGCACGTCGTCGGGCAGCGCCGGTTCCGGTGGGGGGGAGGAAGAGGAGGGGGAGGGGGAGGAGGAAGGAGGGGGTGGGGGAGGGGCGCTCATGCGCAGTTTGCTCAGGATCTGGCCCCGCACGGCCTCGATCCGCTTCCGCCGCGCGGCCTCCAGGTCCAGCGAGCGGCACGTGGACAGCGCGCGCGCCGCGCCCAGCGCCAGCGCCAACGCCAGCACCAGAGGCAACGGCTCCATGCTCCGCCCCCTCCCCCCGAACGGCTCCGAGCGCTTCCGAGCGCCTCCGAGCGCTTCCAAGCGGATCCGAGCGCTTCCGAACGGCTCCGAGCGTTCCCAAGCGGATCCGAGCGCTTCCGAACGGCTCCGAGCGCTCCCAAGCGGATCCGAGCGCTTCCGAGCGGCTCCGAGCGCTCCCAAGCGGATCCGAGCGCTTCCGAGCGCTCCCGAACGGCTCCCAAGCGGATCCGAAGGCTCGCAAACGCTTGCAAACTGTTTTAAACGCTCCCAAACGCTTGGAAACGGTCCCAAGCGGATCCAAACGGTTTCAAACGCTCCCAAACGCTTGCAAACGGTTTCAAAGGCTCCCCAACGGTTTCCAACGGTCCCAAGCAGATCCAAACGGTCCCAAACGGTTTGAAAAGCTCCCAAATGCTTGCAAACGGTTTTAAACGGTCCTAAGCGGATCCAAATGGTCCCAAACGCTTCCAAACGATTCCGAGTGGTTCTAAGGGCTCCCAAATAGATCCAAACGGTTCCAAATCGTTTTAAAAGCTCCCAAACGCTTGCAGACGGTTTCCAGCGGTCCCAAACGGTTTCAAACGGTCCCAAGCGGATCCAAACGGTCCCAAACGATTCCGAGTGGTTCTAAGCGCTCCCAAATAGATCCAAACGGTCCCAAACGCTTCCAGACGCTTGCAAACAGTCCCGAACGGTTCCAAACGGTTTCCAACGGCTCCAAACGCACCCAAACGCTTGCAAACGGTCCCGAACGGTTCCAAACGCTTCTAAACGGTCCCAAACGCTCCCCTCCCCCCCCTCAACCACCACCGTTTCTCCCCCTCCCCGCTTTGAAGCCTTCAGCACCGTTGGGAGCCGCTGCCCCCCCCGCCCCTCCCCCACGCTCAGTTCCCGTTTCGCTCCCTCCAGGCCCGTTTAAAACGCACCGGGGGCGGCCCCACCCAGGAAACGCCGGGGGGGGGAGGGGGCGCTTAAAGCGTTTGGGGGGGGGTTAAAGGCCCCCCTCCCCTCCCCCCCCTTTTCCGCTCAGTTGGAGGCGGCGAAACTGAGTCACGGGGGGGGGGAGGGGAAGGAAACGGGACCCCCCCCCCTCCCCCCATCCCGTGGCTGGGACGTTTCCGCCCCACCACCACCCCCCCCCCCCCGGATGAAACCAAGGCGGTAACAGAGGGGGGGGAGGAGCTTTATGGGGGATAAGGGGGGTGATGGGGGTACAGGGGGGGCAATTGCAGCCCTATAGGACCCCAATGCACACCTATAGGACCCCAATGTCCCATTGCATCCCTATAGAACCCCAATGTCCTATTAAATCCCTATAGAACCCCACTGCACCCCTGTAGAACCCCAATGTCCCATTGCATCCCCATAGAACCCCATTGCACCCCTATAGAACCCCACTGCACCCCTATAGAATCCCAATGTCCCATTGCATCCCTATAGAATACCACTGCATCCCTATAGAACCCATTGCACCCCTATAAAACCCCAATGTCCCATTGCATCCGTATAGAAACCCAATGTCCCACTGCCCCCCATAGAACCCCACTGCCCCCTATAAAACCCCATTGCCCCCTACAGAACACCACTGCCCCCATAGAACCCCATTACCCCCTATAGAACCCCATTGTCCCATTGCCCCCCTATAGAACACCCCTGCCCCCCATAGAGCCTCATTACCTCCATAGAACCCTACTGCCCCCATAAAAGCCCATTACCCCCATAGAACCCCATTCCCCCCCATAGAACCCCATTCCCCCCCAGAACCCCATTCCCCCCCCTAGAACCCCATTACCCCCATAGAGCCCCATGGCCCCCTAGAGCCCCATTGCCCCCTATAGAACCCCCCTGCCCCCCATAGAGCCCCACTACCTCCCCTATAGAACCCTACTGCCCCCATAGAACCCCACTGCCCCCCCTAGAGCCCCATTACCCCCATAGAAGCCCATTGCCCCCTCCCGCCCCTGCAGGACCCCTCCTTAGACCCCGTTGCGGCCCGGCCCGTACCAAGTGGGGGGGGGGTGCCCGCCCCCGCTCATGCGCAGCGCACCCCGAAGCGCCGGAAGTGCCTCAACACCACCCCCAGCTCCAAATGGACGCTTCCGCCCGCCTCGCTCCGCAACCGGAAGCGCTCCCCGCCTCCCCCCGCCACCACCTCCTGCGCATGCGCCAACCTGGCCCCGCCCCCGACCCACCGCCGCCGCGCCCGCTCCCTCCAGCCCGCTAGGGGGCGCCACGTGACGCAGCGCACCGAGTGGAGGCCCGGCGCCGAGGGCACGTGACAGAAGCCGTAGCCAATCACGTCGCAGCGGCCGAAGCCGTCCTGGTGCCACACCTGCACGTGGAGCCGCGGCCACCCTGCGCACGTGGGACACGCTTAGAACATGCTAAGGACATGCTAAGGACACGCTAAGGACACGCTAAGGACACGTGGGGGCACACACGCACCCTGCAGGCCTTTGGTGGCGTAGTGCACGTCGATGGGGTGGCTCCAGTAAGTGACGTCATCGGCCTGCGGGTCATCCACGTGCGTCTGGCCCGAGGTGAGGCCTGAGAGCGGCCGCCAGGCGGCGCCTGCGGGGAACGGGAGCTGTGGGGCGCTCTGTGGAGGCTCTATGGGGGTTCTATGGTCTCTATGGGGGCTCTATGGAGTCCCTATGGTGTCTATGGGGGCTCTATGGAGTCTCTATGGGGCTTCTATGGGGGCTCTGTTGGTCCCTATGGGTCTCTATGGAGTCTCTATGGGGCTCTATGGAGTCCCTATGGTCTCTATGGGGGCTCTGTGGTGGCTCTATGGGTCCCTATGGGGCTCTATGGGGTTCTATGGGGTCTCTATGGAATCTCTAGGGTCTCTATGGGCATCTCTGTGGGGCTCCATGGGGTCCCTATGGGTCTCTATGGTCTGTATGGGGGTTCTATGGGTCCCTATGGGTCTCTATGGAGTCTCTATGGGGTCTCTCTATCATCTCTATGGTGCCTCTATGGGCGTCTCTATGGGGCTCTTTGGGGTCTCTATGAGGTCTTTATGGGGTCTCTGAGGTCTCTACAGGGTCTGTATGGGGATCCCTATAGGGTCTCTTTGGGGTCCCTATGAGGGTCTCTATGGGGCACTCTATGGAGTCTCTATGGGGTCTTTATGGGGTTCTCTATGAGGTCTCTATGGGCATCTGGGGTCTCTATGGCAGTTTCTATGGGGGTCTCTATGGAGCCTCTATGGGGCTTTATGAGGCTCTCTCTCTGAGGTCTCTATGGGTCTTTATGGGGTCTCTATGGGTCCCTATGGAGCCTCTGTAGGTCTCTATGGGGCTCTATGGGTCCCTATGGGGCTCTATGGGTCCCACTTACCCGCCTGCAGCCCCCACTTGCAGAAGAGGCGGCGCTGGGGGAAGCCGCTGCCCCCCACGATCTGGCCCAGGAGGTGCAGCTCCGCCATGGGGGGGGCTATGGGGGGCAATGGAGAAGGAGACGCTCAGTGCCCCCCCACACTGCACCCCCATTGCTCCCATTGCCCCCCATTGCAGCTCCATTGTCCCCATTGCAGCCCCATTGGTCCCCATTGCAGCCCCATTGCCCCCACTGCAGCCCCATTGGTCCCCATTGCAGCCACACTGCATCCCCATTGCCCTCATTGCAGTCACATTGCCCCCCATTGCAGCGCCATTGCCTCCCATTGCAGTCCCATTCCCTCCCATTGCTCCCATTGCCCCCCATTGCAGCTCCATTGCCCCCCACTGCACCCCCATTGCTCCCATTGCCCCCCACTGCACCCCCATTGCACCCATTGCCCCCCATTGCAGCTCCTTTCTCCCCATTGCCGCCCCACTGCCCCTCATTGCAGTCCCATTCCCCGCCATTGCATCCTCATTGTCCCCATTGCCGTCCCATTGCCCCCCATTGTACTCATTGCAGCCCCATGGCCCCCCATTGTAGCCCCATTGACGCCCCATTGGTCTCCATTGCAGCCCCATTGCCCCCCATTGCTGCTCCATTGTCCCCATTGCCGCCATTGCAGCTCCACTGCCGCCCAGTGCAGCCCCATTCCCCCCCAATGCAACCCAATTGTCCCCCATTACCCCCACCTCCAGCTCCCGGCGCTGCAGACCACGACCAATCTCAACGCACACGCACTTCCGGTGCACGTTGCCACGGCAACGCGCTCGCCGTTCTAACGCCGCCACCTCATTGGCTGGCGCCACCGTAAGCCCCGCCCAGGAAGGGTGACGCCCTCTTGGGAGCACGGCGGTACTGCAGCGCTGGACCGGCGGGATGGGCGCCGCCATCTTGGGTGGGCCAGCATCCGGGGAGTTCTGTACGGCGCCTTGGCCGCCGCCATATTGGGCGTACGGCAATTGGGGGCCGCCATAGTAGGTGTACCAGCATCTAGGGAGGGCCGTATTGCACCGTGGTGGCCGCCATCTTGGATACACCACCACCAGGCAGGGCTGAACAACCCTTGTTCGCCGCCATCTTGGATGCACCAGCATTTAAGCACTGCTGTATGGCACTTGGGTGCCGCCATCTTTGTGTACGGCATATGGGCGCCATCATCTTGGATGTACCAGTACTTAAGCAGTGCTGTACAGCACCTTAGTGCCGCCATCTTGAACATACGCCACTTAGGGGCCGCCATATTAGGTGTACCAGCATCTAGAGGGCCATATGGCACCGTGGGGGCCGCCATCTTGGATATACCAGCACCTAGGCAGCGCTGTACGCCGCCATGTTTGTGTATGGCACCGGGGACAGCACATGGGCGCCGCCATGTTGGATGCCCCACTATATAAGGAGTGCTATGCAGCATATTGGGAGCCGCCATCTTTGCGTACGCTACCTGGGCGCCGCCATATTGGACGCACCAGCATCTAAGCAGCGTACTGCACATGAGGGCCGCCATCTTTGCGTACGGATCATGTGCGCCGCCATATTGGACGCACCAGCATTTAAGCAGTGTACTGCACATGTGCGCCGCCATCTTTACGTACGGCTCATGTGCGCCGCCATCT